GCGGGATATAAAAAAAAGTGGGGCAAAAATAGAAAGCCTCTTCCCTTTGTTTATCTCCAAGATGTCTTACAAATTGATTTAGAGGGCTGTATTACTCCGTGAGTCACACTTTTGGCTTAGAGCAGGTTTCGAAAGCCAGAATCCATAAAAAGGACCTAACATATTGTGAGAAAATTGCAGGGCACTCTCACCCAGATGGTTCCTGTGTTCGCCGTTGGGCTTGTCTGCCTCCCGATACCACCCCCAAAATTGAGGATGCTGCTAGGGCTTGGGAACTGGCGGCATCCGGTCTATTTGGTACTCTCCGACTCCAGGGTGAGGCAAGTGATCGTCACCCTTAAGGGACTGTTTCCAGAGAAGACTCTCACAACCCCTGTGGCTTGTCGAGAGCGGCAAGGATTTGGGAGCCCCGCTAAAGACAGGCACCCAGAATGCCCGGGTCCCGCTTCACAATGAAGGCGGGCTTTCTCTTCCATCCCTCCTGCTTCAAGCATGCACTAACTAGGTTTCCCTTTCAGTAGTCAGTCTTCAAGATCTTAAGAAAGGAAGGCCTTTTCAGGGCTCTGTAGCTGCTCTCGCAGGTAGCTCCCGGGCTGTTCTTTCCACCATCCCAGCCCCCTTCACCAGGTCCTCCCGCTTGAACGATTCAATCCCTTACCCACTTAGCAATTTTCTTCATTCCTGTCCCCAGATAGTTTCTTTCACACCTCCCCCTACTGTTCCGCTTCCTCCAACTCCGGAGTGATCGATGACCCAATAGGCATTTACATTTAGAAAGCAATTGCATTTACATAAGCTGCCTCTTATCAAGAGTCAAAGAGGCACAACTATAATACATATATAATAGGGAGAGCGCCTGTTTCATCACCCACATTTACAGTGCCTTCCAACAGGATAGACTGTTCTAGGAACTGGTCTATGAAGGGAGAGAGCCCTGTAAAATGTATCACTAATGGTAATCAATGAGCTTCAAATAATGCGCTCCATACCTCGAGGTGAAAATATAACAAAAGTAGGGGGAAAACATATTTACTCCTTAAAGCTTGCTGAATTTAATTTGAGCTTTCATTGATTTCATTTCATACAAAGATTATATAATCAGGAAGTCAGGAGCAATTGAGAATAGCAGGCCTAGTCTGCACCCATCAGGGCATTTTGGTAATATCTAGTAATGGCAGGAGATTCTCATTTAATTGAATTGGGAACACAACGTATATTAGCTTACAGAAACTTAATCAGTGTGATCAAATTAAAACGGGCCACTCAGACATACCATCCTGATTAAGGCACTTGCAAACACCCCACAATTATCAGAGATTTGTGGTGTTAATGATTTAAACTCAGGTCTTTTCCTCTGGGGATTCAGCCTTGGAACTTTTGTTTTCACTAGACAATTAGAAAACTCCATCCTTTATTTTGAAAAATGTTGCAACAGTATTATTGACACTAATTCTCAAAGAATGCAGAATAGTAAATAGCATGTGTCGCTGATTTTTTTTTCTTTTAACAGTCACTGCCTTCTCTTTGGGATGAGGCCCATTAATCTCAAAGCTTTAGCTCTTGGGAGCGGTAATGAAGTTTGGCAATGGTGAAGTGACCATTTTTAAATGCATTAGAGGAAAACTCCACTTTTCCGCTTTCTGCAAAGCAGCTCTACGTTTCACTGAAAGGGGTTTGCTCACGCATTGCGCTATTCAAAAACCACTTTGAACCAGCCAGTTGTCCTGGGGAGGAGACTACAGAAGTAGGCTATTTCTTCTAAATGTGTTCTTAATAGACCATTACGAACACTAGCTTGGGAGTTGGGAATTACTCCTCCCCCTACCTTTAAAACCCATCCTCCCAGCCCACTGCCCTTAAAACGCAGCCCTAATAAATTACCTGGGAAGGATCTCGTGTTTCCAGCTCTATTATTGGTGTGAATAGTGGTGATGGGGAGGGGTGTGTCTAGCTATTTGTTGCTACTTTCAGCAAAGCCAGTCCCTGCATTTAACAGCAGAGAACAAAATAGAGTTTCAGAGAGACTAGGTGACTTTCTCAAGATGACAGAGTTAATAAGGATCAGGTCTGGGGCTAGAACCGCAGTCTTTCGGCTTTCAGGGTTTTTCTTGTTTATTTGTTTGTTTGGTTTTTTTGCTCATTGCTGCTGGTGCCCGGCCTAGTTTCAATTAGGACAAATTCCAAGTCATTGGCATCTGCCTTATCTGCCTTAAAAAATGGTGTACAATGGAATAAGTGAGTCACTTGAGGAAGATAAGGATGACTGTGGGGACAGAGGGGAGGAGGATGAACTGGAGGAGGCGAATTGGTTGCTGAGATGGGGTGGGGGATCTGACTGCCCACAGGCCTGGCAGCAGCCTGCTATGGCAAGATGGTTAGAACCAACATCTCCCAAAAGCACGGTCAGGCGCTATTTCCCAGACGCTAGTTTGGAAAGGCAGGGACAAGTGGCGGGTTAAAATAAAGAGGCCTGTGGAGTGAGAGCACCTCAGAAACGCTCCACGCATCTGTCTGTAATACCACGGGCTCAGGGGAAAGCAGAGAGTCCTATACTTGGCTCAATACCCAAATCCCTCATACAAGTCTCTTTTGTTTAAAACAACCTTAAAGATCTTCAAGATTCAAGGAAAAGGATTCATTTATGTATTCATCGATTCATTAAAAAAAAAGGCTAAGCCATGTTAACATTTTCACATACTGAGTTACAGGGCGTTCACTTTCTATCCTCACAAGACGATGAAGCAAGAGAATAAGTGGTCTTTCCCAGGGTGTGTTGAAGACACTTGATTCTGTTTCCTATGGACAATTTACAGAAGTGTCTCGTATCAGTGCATATACTAAGAGCCCATGATGTACTCTGGTACGCTCTGTGGAAGATAATAGAATTCCACCTACTCTTCCTTAAAGGAGCCATAGCCCTATGTGAGCTGGAGGAACGTTAAGAAGAATGAAGCTGTTCTTTCCAGAACTTTGTCTTTTATTACGCAGCATCCAGTCCTCCAGCGGCATCTGTGGTTCCGCCTTCTTTGCAGAACACACCACGCTTTTTCTTGGATTCTAGTTATCTGTGTATATGAGCATCTTCTCTACTAGCAAATAAGATGCTTGAGAGCAGTGACGGAATTTGTTTCTGTTTTAGCCCTGATTTCTCCACCTCCTCCCCTCCTTCTCTCCCACCCAACCCCAGCATCTGGTACTGTGCCCATCACATACCAGATGTACAATATTGCTGATTGATTTAATGAACACATATTAGTGCTTGGTTAAATGCTAAATGGATGTTGTTCAAGATGAGGTAGGGATGCTCTCAGGCTGCCTCACGAGAAACATGAAGGAGGAAGTGGCATATTAATTGTTTTGCAATATGAGTAGTAACAATAGTTCTATTCAGTGAGGACCAATATGAACCAGCATACTGCATAAGTTATCTCACTGAATCCTCAGACAATCTCTAGTAGAGTGGGAGGTCCAATTATTACCGCCATTTTATGGATGAGGAAACTGAGGCTCAAAGAAGTTAAGTGCCTTGTCCAAGATGCTAGAGCTGGGATACAAACCTATATCTATCTAACTCGAAAGACTGAGCTCTTCCCAGTAAACCAGGATTCAGAGAGGTGAAGTTGAAGGATGGACGTCATTCAAGATAGGTGCAATGCTATGAACAGAAAGGGAACGTGGCAGATGAAGAGACCAGTATAACCAAGGGCTGGGCTGATGGTGACACTATATATAGTTGGTGATAAAGCTGAATTAGTCAGCGAACATAAAATAAAAACGCTAAGAGTTTTAAAATTATAACAAAAATGTAGATAAGATTGTATGAAATACCTACAATGAATAAATATTAGAAAAAAACCCGGGCCTTCAAATGGCATTCAACATAATGATCCAGACTTTAGCTTAAACACCCGCCTGACTATTTTCTGAGAGAGGATGGCTTAAGCAACTAAAATCATCCTCTCCCCAAGCTAATGGTCCTTTCTTCCCCTACAGGTTTCATTACAGCCTAGCACAGAGGCCAGTTTAAGGAAATGGAGTGGAAATAGTGTGTGTTCATTTAGTCTTCAGAACAGAAGCCAGCTGGGGAGCATTACTCAAAATCTGCGGCCTTTTTTCCCCCTCCGAGGACTTCAGATGCAGCCTGGGTTTAGAGCTGTACTCTCAGGGAACCATCACCCGTCAGCCTGGTTCCTTTCATCTGTTCTGAGCAATGTGGCCAGAAGAAGGGAGTTTTTTTCCTTTACTGCTTCTTTTGTTTTTTGTTTTGTTTTTGTTTTTTGTTTTTAAGAGCTTACAGAATCGATACGGGGGCTGCCACATTACCCGAGTCAGGGCTGCTTTGCCTGTCCCTAGGGAGCCGGCCATGGTGGACAAAGGCTGTTATCCCATACTCTGTTCCTTGGACAGCCTCAGGCTGGGTGTCCACGCATAGGTTGTCAAACTCATTCTAAGCAGAAGGGCTTTAAAAAATGAAATCTAATCAGTCCTCAATATAGAGAACAGATTAAAACGGAGTCACTCAGGGAAGTGGAGTGGAGGCCTGGAGCCCCATCTTTTTCCCACTTTAGACTCCCCATTACCCCTACTTTCAGCGGCCTCTGAGGTCCTGCTTCAGAACCCAAGAGCTCTACAGAACATAGATCGCAAACCAATGGTCCACACAAAGGAAGGATGTAGTAAGCGCACTTCAATGGCTCTCTAAGCCCAGGTAGCTTCTTTAGACTTCTTTTTAGCTTTTTTTTTTCATCTGTTAGAAGCCAAAATAGCAATGGAAAATGGTGACAGAATGGACAGGCAGATTCCTCACCAGGAGGCATTTGCAGAACAGGGAGTGGGGGAGGGGAATACATCTTTTTCTTGGTACTCCTGTTGCTTAGCACAAAATGCCTTGTCCATTGTAGCATTTGGTAATGAATGGTAACGACTTCCATTTTCCAAGAAAGAAGGAAAAAAAAACAACAGCCTTCCACACCATGTATTTGTTTCCTTCTTGCCTCCAGGTGGGTGACAGAGGCCCAGATACCCAGGTAAAGAAACCCACAGCCTCCAAAATGAATGTGTTTCCAGGGACAAAGCTGGTTATGTCTCAATAGTCCCTGAGATACAGATGCTACAGAGGGACGGCAGAGAGATGAATATTTGGTGAGGCACCGGGCATGTGGTTGGCAGAAGACATGACAGCCTGCGGGATAACACGGGCAATCACTGTAGACCTGGCAGAAGGACTGTCAACGTTCTCAGGGAAAGAGACTGAACCTGTCAACTTCGCTGACACAGAAATGCACTTTTATCCAAAGTTCTAGGAAACACTAGAAAGAGCGTATGTGTGACTAGCTATTTTTTCCCGAAGGTCTTTAGAGACATGATAGCGCTTGTTTTCACACCCTCCTGTTGATGCCAGGAGAGACAAGAAGGATTATCTGCATTTTACACTAGGAGGAGCAGCCCTGGGAAAGTGACATGGGGGTAGCGGTGGCATACTGTTTTCTGACAAAGATCACAGTTGATGCAGGTGCCCTGGTGCCTACTGTGAAGGCCATAAAAGAGCTTAATCATTCTAGAAGGTTCCATAGGCCCGAATAGGAGAAATGAAGGTAAACAGGAAGAGGCTGAGTAGAGAGCATCTCATGAAAACCCTGGGAGAACACATCTCCTCCCTGACCATGAGAAAGAAGGACCCTGTTGAGGAGGTACTTGTAAGAAAGCCCAGCACACCTACTTTCTGTCATCATGACCTTTGATGCCAAAAAAGCAAAACCCTCTAGATTCCAGGGCATGCAGAACCACTGCCCTGTCTTGTCTCTGCTGGGGCACCTGGACATCCACCTGAAGGGAACCTCCAGGATGGGGTATGATCCATGCCACTGAAGAAAGTGATGAGCTCTCCTTGAACCAACGTCAGGGGGTAGTTTTCAGATTAAATGAGAAAATGCATGCAGTAAAGCACTTAGAATAGGGCCTAGGGCATAGGAAAAACTCAAAAATGTTACTGCTCCTTCTAAAATTCCTGGTCCTTGTTAGAGTTGGCAGTCTTTACTACTTCTGTTGGGAATGAATTCTCTTAAGTTCTCAATCTGCATGTAAAGGATGTTTTGCTTTCTTTTTGGTCAGGTACTTAAAATTATTTGACTCTAATTGAAGACTGGTCTACTCTTGGGCTCTATGGGGTCAGGAAAATAATTTAGGATTTAGAGAAAAATGGACCCTGGTTTCCTTCATGGCTCTGCCACTTATTATTTGTGGCTTGGGGCAAAATACACTATCTCTTCTCAGCCTTAGTTTTCTCCTCTGTAAGCTCTAGATGGAATTCCTGCCTCAATGGGTCATCGGTTAAATTAAGTGAGATAATGGATGAGAATGCTCTTTGCAAACTATGAAACACTGTACAAGTAATGGGTTCTTTTTATTATTAGGAATTTTGGGCTTGACCAGACTTGCTTTCTTCCCCTGTCACATGTATCCTCCAGTTCACACTAAGCTTTGTAGACAGTGATGGCCAAACTCATATCAGGTCTGCCAAATGGCATAGGACTAATCAATTGATCATTTGATTAAATTATCCAGTCAATTTAGGCAACCCATTTTCTCAGTTGTCCTCATCTCCATCCACACTCAACCCCACTCAAGTGATCCAAAACAGTGGCTTGTGATATCATATAAATATATTCTTCAAGCAACACGATGTTCTTCTTGGACCATCTTCACCATCCAGGGATGCTAGGCACCCAGGAACTGATGATTTGTGCTTCAGATAAATGTGACATCTTAATCAACCAGTACAAATGCTACTTCAAGCAAGCACTAACAGATGGTGGCCTGAATTTTATAGCATCGTCCGTATTTTCCAGGCAAAATTTATAGTTCAGTCATCAGTGAGCTGAGTCCTACCTCATTTTTCTTTTCTGTTTAATCTTTAGCAAGCAACCATCCTGAAAACCCAAAGCATGTTTTGTAATGAAGCCATAGCCGTGGACCAGTAATGTAGTTTTATTTCTGTCCTCCCCACTCCTCCATTCTCAGGTTGTATGCACCCAATGCACATAGTAATGAGAGTGTCAGTCAGGTGCTGATGGCGGAGTCCCAGGCAAGATTGCCTTATCTTCAAGTTGAAATGCTAAGAAGGTGAGATTTCACCACCTTCCAGGGCCCCTGAAGAACCTTCTATCTACTCAACGCTACTCCTTCCAACTAAGGCCTCCGAAAGTAGGACCAGTCTTCTAATCTTTCTGAATCTGAGTCTAATATAGTCCCAAAGCACAAAGGGCATCTTTAGAAAGGATGGATGAACTTAGCCTCTTGGGACAAGCCCAGATATGGCTGCAGTCTTGGCCTTATCACCTATTACCTATGTGATCTGGAACAAGTCAATGTCATCTCAGATTCCTTGTCAGTAAAATGAGCTAATAATAACCTTTGCTTTATAAGCCTGTTGTAATGATTAAACAAGATAATATTATGTAAAGCACTTTGCACAGTGCCTGACACATAGAAAGCTTTCAATAAATTGTAGCTAATAAAAGCATTATCTATTTGCTTTATGTGAGGAATGGTTATAATTTTTAAATGTATTATCTTATTTAAATAAATTAAATATTTCCTCAAATGTCAACTTTCAGTGATGTCTTCTCCAGCCACTTTATTTAAATTTACAAATTTCCTGCTTGTATTTCTCCTTATCCTCCTGCCCTGCTATTTTCCTCCTTTACAACTTATTCCCTTTAAAAATACTATATAGTTTACTTACGTGTTTAAAGACATTATCTCTCCATTAGAGTAGGCATGAGGGTAGGGAATTTTGTCTGTTTCATTCTTTGCTATATCCCCAGAACCTACAATAGTACCTGGTATCTCATAAGCAATCAATAAAATTTGGGGGTAAATGACGAATTTAATCCTTAAGAAAATCCTATGAAGCAGACACTATTAGTAGCCCCTTTTTACAAGTGAAGAAACTGATGTACAGAGAGATTAAGAAACTTGTCCAGGCAAGTGTTGGGATTTTAAAGCAGCAACTGAGCTCCAAAGTTTGCCATCTTAACCATTATGCTATCCTGTTTCTTTTAAAGAACTCATGGAGGGAGAAAGGTGGAGGAGTGAAGAGAGGGGAGAAGGGAGAGAAAAGAGAGGGAGAAAATACAAAGAGAGAATGAGAATAATGGGAAGAGTGTATGTGATTCTATGAAATTTAGAGTCTATTTTTCATTTGCTTCTTGCTTTTTGGTATCCTCCTCCTCCTCATGAATAGTATTTACTTTTTTCTGAAGAAATTTTTGTGCAGTAGTTTGGAAATCTAGCTTTGGCCTTTTGATAAAGGCAGTGATCAATCATTTGTCCCCAGTATAACATCTTTAGAGGACACTTCCATTGTTCAGCTATCTCTCCATTGTTTTTATGCATCTTTTCACAAAGCTAAATGGGTGGGAATTATTTACACATCAAATAAGTCATAGCTATTCTATACTCTACTAGAGGTTCTAGCCAGTGCAATAAGGCAAGAAAAAAAGGCATACATGTTGAAGAAGAAAAATAAAACTGCCTTTATTCACAGATGACATAATTGTCTGTGTAGAAAATCCAATGGACTCTTCAAAAAAGCTCCTGGAACTAATATGTGAGCTTAGCAAGTTTGCACGGCATAAAATCTATTTACTGTTATACTTCTATATAGTAGAAAGAAATAATTAATAGTTAAAATAAAAGGCTACTATTTATCATAGCCTCCAAAGTATGAAAAACTTAGGGATCTATCTGACAGAAGACAGGAAAAATATGTACACTGAAAACTACATTGCTGAATGTAATTAAAGATCTAAATAAATGGGGAGATAAACTATGTTCATGGTTTGTAAGACTCAATATTATTACAATGTCAGTTCTCCCCAGATTTGATATATATATATATTCAACACCATCCCTGCCAAAATCTTAGCAGGTTTTGTTTTCTTTTCCCGGAAATGTACAGGCTGATGCTAAAATGCACATGGAAATGCAAAGGACCTAGAATATCCAAAACAACACTGAAAAGGAAGAATGAAGCTGGAAGACTCACACCATCTGATTTCAAAACTTATTATAAAGCTAGAGTAATCAAGACAGTGCGGAACTGGCATAAGGATAAAATATTGACCAATTAAGAATCTATCTATCTATCTATATCTCTATCTATCTATCTATCTATCTATCTATCTATCTATCTATCTATATACATTATTATATGTATACATGATTTTCAATAAAGGTGCCAAGGTAGTTCAATGGAGAAAGGATATTCTTCTTGAGAAATGCTACTGGAACAACTAGATATGCATATGTTAAACAAAACAAAACTTTGATCCCTACCTTGCACCATATGCAAAACTTAACTCAAATTGGATAACTGCCATAAATGGAAAACCAAAACTATAAAACATCTAGAAGAAAACATAAGCAAAAACCTTTGCAACTTTGGATTAGGCAAAGATTGCTGAGATATGTAACAAAAGCAACATCCAGAAAAGAAAAAAATGGTAAATTGGATTTCATCAAATTAAAAATTTCTACTCTACATTTAAATGCTCCAAACTCCAGATTTTTATTCAATGTTGGATTTACAGCAATTATTTGGAAAGCATGTCAGTTTTGCCCTGTGTTTCCATAATCTGTTAGTACTGCAAGCCATAGTGGGCCACGTTTAATTGGTTATATGTCTGAAAAACAACAGATTTGGCCTAGAGGCATTAGAAGCTGCCATTGATTTTGCCTCTGTAATTCCTTCAGCTCAAAAAGAGCTGGGCTGAGAGCTAAACATATTGGTGTATAAGGGCAGATGGAGTATTAAGAGATGGATAGATGAGGGGATGATGCAGGAAGGGAAGGAGGAGGAAGAAAGAGAGACAGAGAGAGAGAGAGAGATTTGTTACTTGGAGGAGTCCTGTCTACCATCACTCTACCTTGCCTTCCTGGGCCTTCTCAAGAGAGAGGGAGAGGAGTGGAATTCCAGCCAGCACCTGGGAAACTTGAGCTCTACCAGAGAAATGCAAATGAGCATTCTTAACCATGTATGCCACAGAGGGGAAAAAAGAGCTATTGAGGACCCTTGTTCTAGAGAGCAGCATGTTGAGTCTGTGATTTTTGTGTGGCAGGCGATAAGGGAGAAAAATGGCTCCTGCTTTCTAAGGCTCCATTAGCAAAACACTTTTCTTTTTTTTAATTGAAGTATAGTTGATTTACAATGTTGTATTAGTTTCTGGTGGATAGCAAAGTGATTCAGTCATACATATATATCCCCTTACATATTCTTTTTCATTATGGGTTATTACAAGGTACTGATGTACTCCACAGTAAGATCTTGTTGTTTATCTATTTTATATATAATAGTTTTGTATCTGTTAATCTCAAGGTCCTAATTTATCTCTCTTCCTCCATTTCCCCTTTGGTAAGTCTAAGTTTGTTTCCTATATCTATGAGTCTTGTTTCTGGTAGAACACTCACTCTTCTTGACTAAGCTATAAGACCATGACCAACATGAACAGTCAGATGTTTTGGGGGAATTTATTATGTTAGCTAGTATACTCTACATCCGAACTATCACAGAGATACAGAGATGCATGTGTACCCACTTGGAAATATTTCCATGACTGGACTATTTCTTCCTGGATCCTCCAGTAATTTCTTGTCTCAATCTGTGGGCATTGTTTATGTGTTGCCATTGTTTATGTATTCTGCTTCTCCATTTCTGGAACTGGCAAAGCAGATAACCAGGCAAGCTGCCAAAGCAGAACTCTTATTTGGTCAGAATCATACTGGCCAGGTCACAGTGTCCCCAACCACAGTTTGTTGGCAGCTGAAGCAAGCATAATCACTAGTTGACATTTATTAAGCCCTTGTCGTGTCAGGCTCTAGGCGACCCTTACTTGGATTATGATATTTCATCCTCACAATAGCCTAATGAGGTAGGTACAAAATTAATCAGTGATAGAGCCAGGATTCAAATCCAGGTCTATCTGACTTCAAAGCTGATATCCTTTGAAATACACACAAAGGCTGCGTGATTAATTTATTTAAAGAGATCTCTGAATAGCCCCATGCTACAGCTGGTTAGCCTGAGGTGAAACCCCAAAATATGACAAACCTATGTGTCATTTACTCCTTGTTATTAAAAGTCCTTTTCAAATGTCTTATGCTACTTTCCTGCCTTATTAATGAGTGTACTTTCTGGGATAAGATTTGACTTTTTTTGTTGTGACCAAAGGTCTCGCACTATCCTGGATGGGGAATAATGGTGGATGGGGAATCAGTGCACATGTACTAATTCCCAGGCACATGCCCGTTTCTGCCATTTGTCTTTTTCTACAAAGGAGCAACGAAAGAGAGGGAAGGAGAGGGAGAGGGAGGTAGACAGAAAGAAAGAGAGAGAGAGAGAGACAAAGAAATCAGTCAGTTTGGGGCTTTGGTTTTTCACAAGCCTTTGTGATATTAGACTTAGTCTAACAGCTGAACTAAGGCACTATTGACATCATCACATAAAACTACAGCAATTATTTGAAAAGTATGAGTATTTGGCTGTATAATCACTATGCTCACACAGCATATCACTATTTTGAAGTGAAAGTACACAAACACACACCCTTTCACCTGCAGGCAAAGCTTGGGGTTTTAACGGTAATTGCTATCTAGTGTCTTACCAAAAATACGTGGTTCTCAATGAAAGGAAACGATAGAGTCATGAAACTATATTCTGCAGGTCTTGGACTTCAGCAACGCACATGTAAACAACTGAATCTGAACGTGAGACTGCACCACTCTGAATCCATACGGAATAAGCAAGAATCCGCCTCTTCTTTCTAAAGCAGAAATGCTTTTCACTTGGCGCCTACACACCAAAAACAAAGGACCGTTCGTATGTTTAGCACATTGATGAAGTCACGTGCTCTCGACTGCTCTCATCGAGAGACTGCTGAATAGATAAACAGGTCTGTTCGTTATGAGACAATTTTGGCAAAAACAGGTTGGAGTCAGTCTTCCCGTGACACGTGCTACGAGGGTCGGCTCTGGGTACATTTGTAAAGTGAGCAAGGTTTGACTTGACCATCTCATATTCCCTTTTGTATTTTTTCCCCTCCATTTTAGCCTCCCTCCTTCCCCCGCCTTAATTCATTGAAGCCAACATTTATGGAACTTAATTCAACATTTATGGTATCATTTCCCAGGCACTGTGCTGGGGTGCTCTGCCCTGGTACTGTAAAATTCATAGCCTTCACTAGTATTTGAAAGTTGACCTTGGTCCTTGTCTTTCCATAACCTGAGCCTATGTGAAAAACATCTCAGGCTGAGAGGATTGATTGATTTCCATCATCATCTGCAACTGCCTGCAATCTAATTTTTAAATTGATGCGTATGAATGTTATACACACAAACACACCCCCAACACACACACCCTCAGCCTTGGTTGGCTGATTTGAGGGAGACTAGCTGTAGTAATCTACAAGTTCTCTTTCCTGCTTTCTTGATGAAGGGGTGTGTTAAAGGCTTGAGATAGCCCAACAATA